TGTTAGTGCTATGCAGCCATATCATTATTTATCACTTTATTAGAATCGAAATTATCCTAGAAGAAGGCTTTTTTTACACATTTTTTCGATTCAATTGTGTATGTGATAATTTGGAAACAAATCTCTAGAGTTTATTTTATATGGTAATTTTGGTACTATATTAAAGATAGTCAATGTTTTCCCCAAATATTATGAATAAAATTCGAATATATACTTTTATTTTTAACGTTTTGCTTTTATATACATGCATGGAAAAGAATTGTGAAAATATACCTCTACCGCAGAATGGAGATGCGGGACCGAGGCAGTGCCGCTCGCTCCCGCGTAGCGTCTGCACGGCACCGTCGCTCCCGCGGAACGTCCACGCGGAACCGTTGCTCCCGCACGCAATGCCTAGCTCCCGCGCGCCACATACGCGCGACCGGCGCGGTCCGGTGCAGCGGGGACGCGTGACAGGCGCGGTCCCACGCGCTAACGACGCGCGACCGGCGCAGCAAAGCAAGCAGCCCATGCAGCGCATGCATTCACGTTGCATGCATTCAACGGCGCGGCGGTTCCGCGTTTCCAGGCTGTGGGATCGATCGGTCCCGCACTGCTGTTTTGCGCGACTGCCGGTTCCGCGGAATGGTGGTGCGGGACCGAGACAGTTCCGCATGACCCCTATGCAGTAGAGCTATATTTTTGCAAAATTTCATTGCATTGGTATATAAACGCAAAATAACGAAGAAAAAAAATATATTTTCAATTTTTTTTTTCGTTTGTCCTCTCTCTAGATTAGACCACTTCTTATTACATCCTTCTTCTTAGCGTGCACCTCACGTAGGGAGAGCATCATCTCCATCCAATGTCATCGTCTCTTTGCATGTTTTATAAAGAGAGGTAAATCGGGTATTTTAGCAATACATGTTTGCAAGCGACAACTCCATCAATTGTCTTCATCCACAACCTATGCGCTATGGTTGTTTTCTCGTCGAACTCAAACTCTTGTTTAAACATCGTCAGGGCACTCCTAGTTAAGTGCTTTTAGTGATTCGACTTCTAGCCTTATTAAAATGCCATTTGTGATTTTAGTGATTTGACTTCAAACTCGGTTTGTTGTGTTGATTATGTTGTTAATGCTACGCAACCATGTCATTAGTTATAATCTTTTGAATTCAAATTATCTAAGAAGTAGGCCCTTTTAGTCTTTTAACACTTTTTGGGTTCAATTGGGTATCTGATAATCTAGAAACGAATCTCTAGAGCTTTTGGCATATGGTAATTTTGGTATTGTATTTATTATAATCAATATGTTCTCAAATGCTACTAGTGTCTTTCTCTCCTCATTAGATTAACTCACTTCTTGTGTCTAGGTTTCTTTGGTACTCTGTCCCTCTGCTTAGCGTGCACCACACTTAGGATGAGCAGCATATCCATCCAACACCATTGCCTCTTTGCGTCTTTTACAAATAGAGGCAAATAGAGTCTTTTAAAAACATGTGTTTGCTCATGACATCTTCATTGTTTTTGTCCACGACCTATGCACTATGACAATTTTCTCCTCGAACTCAAATTCTACTTCAAACATCGTCAGAGCACTCCTTGGTAAGTGATTTTAGTGGTTCGACTTCTATTATTATTACCGTGGCATTTACGGTTTTAGCGATTTGGCTTCAAACTATGTTTACTACGTTGATCACCTTGATACTTCTATGTAATAGTCTCATCCTTTATCACCTTACCGGAATTGATATTATCCAAGAAGTAGGCCTTTAAAGGTTTTTTTTTACACCTTTTCTAGTTCTTAGTGAGTATTTGGTAATTTGGAAACAAATCTCTAGAGCTAAGTGCATATGGAAATTTTAGTGCTATTAGTTATAATTAACATGTTTCCTAAAATGTAACTATTGTCTTTCCATCTCTTTTCTTAGCGTGCACCACACATAGAGAGAACATCATATGCATCCAACATCATCTTCTCCTTACGTCCCATAGAGAGGCAAATCGAGGTTTTTTAGAAGTACATGTTTACTCGCAACATCTTCATTGTTCTTGTTCGTGACCTGCGCGCTACATCCATTTTTTCCTCGAACTCAAACTCTACTTCAAATATCGGCAAACCACTCCTAAGTGAGTGATTTTAGTGGTTCAACTTCTAGCACTATTACTATGCCATTTGCAATTTTAGCGATTTGACTTCAATTTAGTGAATTGACTTCAAACTTTGTTTGTAGTTTTGATCATGTTGTTAGTGTTATGTAACCATCTTGTTAGTTATCACCTTATCAGAATTGAAATTATCCAAGAAATAGGCAATTTTAGTGTTTTTTTACACTTTTTTCGGTTCAATTGTGTATGTGCTACTTTGGGACAAATATCCGGAGCTAATTGCATATGGTAATTTTGGTAATATATTCATTATGATCAATATGTTCCCCAAATGTTAATGCATTTTTCTCTCCTCGCTAACCTACTACTTCTTGAGTCTACGTTTCTATGTTATTCCATCCCTCCAATTAGCGTGCACCAAACATAGAGAGATGATCATCTCATCCAATGCTAGTGTCTTTGCATCCCATAAAAAGAGAGGCAAATTGTTTTTTTTAGAAATACATGTTTGCTTGTGACATTTTCATTGGTTTCATCTGTGACCTACGCGCTAAGATTGTTAACTCGTCGAACTCAAACTTTACTTCAAACATCGTTAGGGCACTCCTAGGTAAGTGATTTTAGTGGTTCGGCTTCTAGCATTTTTAATATGCCATATGCAGTTTTAGTGATTTGACTTCAAATTTTGTTTGTTATGTGTATCATGTTGTTAGTGCTAGGCAACTATCTTGTTAGTTATCACCTTATTAGAGTTGAAATTATTCGAAAAGTAATAATTTTTCTAGCAATAACAGTTAAGTGGCAATGGGATGAGAAATGGAGAGATGAGAGAGATATGATAAGGAAGAAGAAAGGATGGGTTGATGACATGTGTGCCTGTTGCTTTTCTTTTTGCTAGGTTTGTTTGGTCGCCATATGGTCCGCACACTTTGTCATCAAGATGAAAATGGGCCTGTGCGGCTGCCCAGGCTGCACCCGGCACGAATAGTGCCGCACTCACTGTGCGCAGCCGCAATTGTCGGCCTGCCAAACGTGCCCAATATAAGTCTGCCCCTACTTTAATTGGGTAAAGCTAATGATTTTGAACTTGAAGGGTAAGTCTGGTAGGGGTCAAGCTCGAGCACGACCAAGCCTGACTAGTATGCTTTTTCCTAGGCCTAAGCCTGGCCCAAGTAAAACATCGACACTGCCTAATTTCAAATAGGAAAAAAAAATCTTTGATGTGAAAAGAGATGAATGTGAAATAAGGGTTAGGTAGAACTCACCCACCGGTGACAACATGGTTGGACTCCTAGTCAGAGACTTCGTGATGGGCGACGGTGAGAGGTGATTGGCATTGAAGGAATATGCTGCGCGTGTGGCCGTCGCATGCAGACTACACTAAGCCAAAGCGGAGTCGAGGGCGAGGCATCTGATTTCTGATCAGCTAATGTACGTGCAAGAAGTTGAGGCATCAATCAACGGCCTTGTATGATTCCATTGTCTCTGATGGGTTGAGTAGGCTTCTATCATTAGGGGGGTTTCCCTGGGATTGAAGGAATGACAATTTTTTTTTAAATTCCCCTTCCCAATCATTTCTAAAACTCCTATGTTTACCAACCAAACAAAACGCGTCATCATCATTCCTCAAACTCTCATTCCTTCTTAACAATTCTCTCCAATCAAACGCGCCGTGAGAGTCAAAGGCAGGGCAGATCACGGACTATTTGACTCTCATTCATTTTTTTCTTAAAACAAACTCCTTCCGTGATTACATGTAGTTGTTTCAACTGGATTTTTTGGGGGGCCGGGTTTTGACGTCTTCTGAAATTGAAAGGAGCTGTGTTCGTGATTGCAATCACGGGAGATCGAGTTGGACATTTAATTACATATCGTTGTTGTTTGCAGCTAACCATCAACCTCTTCGATCTGCCTGTGCTGCAAGCCACATCACCGTCGAGTTGACTAAAAACCAAAGATATTTTTGCCATCTGGTATTCCCACAAGTACATACACAAAGCCTCTGATTATTTTCATTGTAACACAAGTTCTCTTGCATTAATGAAATGTATCTGCTACATTTTGCTCTCTTTTTAATTTTTTTATGGTTTTCTACTTAAAGATGCATATTATGGACAAAATATGCACACTGCATTTATAGAAACACACTCAAACCCCCCCCCCCCACCCCCCCCAACTCCCAAATAAAAAAAAACCTTATATCCACCTAATAATAAAACTAGGAACTAGACACATACTGATGAATATTGCAAATCTTGAAGCCAAACATCTCAACCATTTTCCTTCACAAAATAAGTAAATGTGTGCACCACGCAAATTAAAATATCATGTATATATCCTTCCTCTAACTTCAAATACAAGTCATGTTATGTAAAACAGTACAATTAAGGAAACGACTCAAATAATTTTATCGCCCTAATACATTAAAAAGTGACTTATTTATTTATTTATTTATTTGTAAGAGTGACACCATTTATTTGGTAAGAACAAACCAAAGCAAAATGATGAAAGATTGAAGGTTCTATTTTTTTATGAGAGGTTGTAAAACTAATTAACTTAAATTTTGGAAAATAAGACGTAAAGTAGGATTAAAAATTACATTTATAAGCAAAGAAAATACTACACAATTACACATTACCACAAAACAGAGGACAGTACTAAATCCTCTATTTCTATTTAAAGAGAAAATGAAAAATAACTGGTCGATCCGCTCTAAAGAATTTCTCTCTACAATACAAAAATCATGGCTCTTATTACAACTAATAGTAATGCTACACATACTTAAAACTTCCTTACAAACTTATAACAAAAATCTCATTATAGAAGATTCAACCATAATGTGACAAATCCGTATTTGTAAAAAGTTTATAAAAAAAATAGTACACGTATATCGTTTCCCTACTGCTAATTAACCCTCTATAAATGCATGCCTCTCACCACTCTCCCTCCATTGCCATTTCCCCTACTCTCTCTCTCTCTCTCAACTCTCAAGCCAAGAATTGTCAGGGACACGTAGCCATGAGGACGATGGTTGCGGCGCCGCCGCCGTCGCCGGCGATGGCTGTCTCGCCGTGGCACTCGCCGGTGCCGTACCTGTTCGGCGGGCTGGCCGCCATGCTGGGGCTCATCACGCTCGCGCTCCTCATCCTCGCCTGCTCCTACTGGAAGCTCAACAGCTACCTCGGCACCGGCCACTCTTCCTCCGCCGCCGCCGCCGCCGCCGCCGGAGATGGAGGCGACGGCGATGGCGGCTCGAAGTCGCCGGCGACCGCGGTGGCCGCGTTTCCGGTGGTGTACGGGGACCTCGTCGCCGTCGTCATGGCAGGGGAGAGGATGCCCACGTTCTTGGCCGCGCCGATCGTCCGTCGACCGCCGTCCACTGACACCTCCTCCTCCGCCGTTGCCGAGGTGGCCTCGCCGGAGAACGGATGCGACGCGGCGGAGGGAGGCGCGGCCAGCCGGCCACCTCCGCAGCCGGTGGCGGCGAGGCAAGCCGTACAGCTAGCTCAGCTCTGAACTTCCAACTGTAAAAAGGAGAATTTGTGGGGGCCTTTTCTGATAATTTTTTTGTCTCCTTTTTTCCAAATCGTACTCTTTTTTTTTCCTATTTTCATCTCTACTAGGATTGTAAATAATATATTGGTGAGAATTCAGATGAAGAATAATTTAGTTGGAGATGAAAATATGATAGGAATGTTGTAGATTCTCGTCGAGCAAATATAATTAATCTTCGAACAACCAGCATAAAAAAAACACGACAGCATGACACTCCCACACAAACCATGCATATTCTACTATTCTAGGATATGTTATGCGCAGTGCTAATTGAGCATTCTAATTATGCAACCTCTAATTCTATCTATAAAACCTTCACGTACCTTGAAAATTATTTTCCTCACTATCGAAATATGAGTCGCGTCTAGGTTTTTTAAAAGGACGGTTTTACATGACTTCTATATAAAAAATTAAACGTATTCAAAAGTTACAGGCAAAATAAATCATGCAACTCTCATATATATACACTTATATGTTTGCTTAATTACCTTTTTCCCCCTTTTATGTGAACTTTAGACTGGATTTCATGGAAAAGATGTCCTAGCTTCATGTCCAAAGGAAAAACCGGGCGGGAAAGCTGGAGTCGGTTGCTTCCGGTGATAAAGTTGCTTATTTGGTTGGCAAAAGGACACCCTTTTGCTTTGTCACGTAGACAACTTTGTCTCATCAAATTGAAGAGGAAGCCCTCGTACTATAGATGTTGGGGATGTTCATATAAATGTTGGATTTTGATCAAATTTTGTTAGAAAGTTGTTTTTCTTTTTTTTTCCTTTTGGCAAATGGACACCTTTTGCTTTGTCACGAAGCTAACTCTGTCTCATCAAATTAAATAAGATGGCTCTAACTCATATCAATTCTGAAGCTTGGAGATGTTCATCTAAATATCGGATTTTGATCAAATTTTGTTAGTAATTTGTATTTCCTTTTCTTTTCAGATCTGATTAAGTTTGCAGTAACTAGCACAGGTTCGGTTGCTGACAATTGAGCTGTTTGTGGCTGATTAACATTGGGCCCTGTAGGCCCAGTACTAGTTCTTCTCTTGAATCACCAGAACCACAGAATTCAGATCGAATCCTGCCAAAGTGATGGTCGTTGTAAGCTGTGATGCATGAATAATAAATTAATAATCAAGTCATTTTTTTTAGGTATACATTGACCACAAGTAGCTCTCTACAGGTTATTAATGAAAACTATGTATATATGTTTGACTATACATTGAGAGAAAATGACTGCTACATGGCAAATGCAGAAGAAGAAAGTTATAGAGAAGATAAAAAGAAAATTAAAGGGAATATGTGTGTGTGAGAGAGAATTCAAGGAGGAAATTAAAGGGGACCGACCTAGCTACACGAGTGGGACAAATCCGATGGTACATGGGACTAACTGTACCTACACGTCGTCACATACATATGCGACACTGAGACGACATTGCAAAATGAGCTGTCTGTTTAACACCTGGTTTAAGTTCACAACCTACTCTTCTATTGGATTACATTACTCTCCATGGAGTGATTTTGGGACTGCTCGCTTGTGGCTGCCGCAGCCGCGTCCTACCGATCAGCGTCTTTAATTACCTTCTCTTTCAACGTATGGGGAAATATATAGATACCCTATTTTCATTGTAAGCTAGCTAGTGTATTAAGTAGCTCATTCGTGCGACTATAGTCATCAATCATGTTATAAATGGTGTGTAAGAAAATATATTAATGATAATATGAAATTAAATGATTAGTTATTCAAAACGTATAAAACATCTGAATTTGTTCGAAACTTAATTAGTTGATATAAATTAAATTAATTACATGTATATACACTTGTATAGATACACAACTTTGAGTATTCTTAAGATTAGGAATACTCATGTTTAATTGTAGAGTTTAGAGTACCATGTTTACACAGTTTTTACTTTGTAATTAATTATCTGAATTTAAAGATGTATTTGTAATATAAATATAGGCAAATGAATGATTTGTACATTATACAATTTACTATATTACTAAGTGCGAAAATAGAATCACATATCCTCTCTACATCAAGCTCCATGCGTCCACCTGTAATCACTTTGTCTCCTTATATACATTATGTTTTGATTAAGTAAGCGGTTATATCTCTATTTGTAAATAATAATACCTTTTTACCATCTCAAGCAAGTAGCTCTTCTATTGCCAGAGAAGGGTCACACCCTATGTTTGTTACTACTACTTTGAGTTTCATCCTATGGTCAAAATTGATTCTTGCTTTTAATCTGATGGCTAATATTCATTCGATGATGTGGCACACTCTAGTTGTATGTTGGGTTTTACTTTCATTAGATAACATTTGACGTACACCTTCTATTGTCGTAAGTATCACCAAATTTTACATTACCCTTTGATACTTTTAAGAACCACAATTCTTTTTTTTTCCCGCCTAACCCAATAGCGCACCGCCACTATTGAAGAAACATCGATAGTTGTGAAGATAAATTATTGGCTCTTTCAACATCAAAGATGGCTCTCGAGTACGGTTTTGGGAAGATAAATGGTTGGGGAATGCCTGTTTAAGAGAATAATATCCTTCTCTCTATAATGCTGTTAGGCATAAACATGTAACTATTTCAGAAATTTTACAGACCAGTCCTCTAAGCTTTTCTTGGCGCAGGGACCTTACTAGCTCTAAGTTAGTGGCGTGGAATCACCTTGTCTCACGCATCGCTATATTATATTATCTCACGACCAAGATGAGTTTAAATGGAATCTAACCACTGATGGCAGATTCTCAGTTAAATCTCTTTATCTTGCGTTGGTGCAGACCGATGTTCCCAATATAAACAAAAGAATCTAGAAGATCAAAGCTCCCCCTAAAGATTAATATCTTCTTATGGTACTTACGCCGTGGAGTAGTCTTAACAAAAGATAATCTGATTAAAAGGAATTGGAGAGGAAACAAGTCTTGTTCTTTCTACCTCAAAGATGAAACTATTAATCATTTGTTCTTTGATTGTCGTTTTGCCAGCGCGGTTTAGTCTTTAATCCAGATTGCTTCGAATATTAGTTTACCTAATAGTACAACTCATATGTTTGGGCATTGGATAAGAAGACAACCACGCATTTTGAGAACTTTGGTCTTATTAGAGGCAACTACCACTATTTGATCAATTTGGCTTTACAGAAATAATGTGGTTTTTGAAAGGAAAAGCATATCTTCTCCTTTGCAGGTTATCTTTTTGACTACACATTGGCTCTGCTCATAGGCTATCCTCCAGAAGATCAATTTGCGGGGTACTATCATTGCGGCTTGTCAACAATTGGAGCTAGTGACCATGGAGTTTTCTACCCCGGCACATGGGTGGCGCTCTAGGCTACGGTTAGAGAGCTCCTGAAGTTCTTTTTGTTCATGCTATTTTGGATGATGAGTTTATCTTTTGTTTCTTTCTTGTTGGCTGTGTGCACTCTTTGGGTGTAGAAGCCAGAGGTGCTCTCAGAATAATTGTATCACTTGATGAAATTTACTAAGATTAATAAAGCTTCCATTATCTAAAAACTATTGAAGAAACAATTGGCCTCCTCTCAAACACTATATTTGACCATTTAAATATGTGATGTTGTTAACTTTTTAATATGATATTTGATCTTTCATGTTATTTTAAAATTTTGTGCAAGTACAGAAAAATATAAGTATGCTTAAACAAAAGTACTTATTGTGAACCTTATTGAGAAGGTTAAAATATTTATGACCGGGAAGAATACATTATACTGATCTTATCCACATTGCATATGAGTACGTGATCCCTTCCCTAATCAAGGCGTCACACACTCCCAACAAACACCCCAACAGTAAGTGTGTGGAACATATATAGGCCCCCCACAAGATCGTTGTGCAAGTGCAGCTAATGATCATCTCCTTCTAAGTGAGAGAGAAGCTAAGAAACCTCTCTAAAAAGAGATGGATGATGAATCACACACAATCACCCCCAATAATCACCTGATCTGCTGATCCTACTATGTGGGAGCCAAGTGTCCCACTGCAACAGCAGAGTGTGATTAGATCAAACCAGATGCACTAGCTACATGGATGCATATGTGTTTGTGTGTTTGTGGATCTTGGCCATGATGGTAGGCTAAGCTAGACCTGTACCCTGCACTCATGTTTCCCCTGACTTCACTGCCAAGAGAGACTAGCAACACACAGGGGATCCCTACACTGCCTTTCTTTCTTTGCTTCCACCCTAAACAAGCCTCTGCTATGTATGCTACCTTCTCTTGGTCTCTACCAACCAGCATTACTGTCTCAACCAATGGCAGTTCCTTCAGTCACTAACTAATTGTCATCCTGGTTACAAGATTAGTGTGAATCTGAAACCTAATAATTGAACTTGTATGTTTTGTTGTAAATGGATATTGGATAGCATGCCTTGGTTTTAGTGACAGCATGTGTGTACTTGCAAGAAATGAGTTGGTTTTGGTCCTTGGAAAAGATCATCGATGATAGAAGATAAATGTCTTATTGGAGTAATTATTATTAGTTCACCGAGCTACAAATGGGAATTGATTCTTAATGTTGAGCTGAAAATTGGAGAGACCAATAAACCCCAATGGAGGGAAGTGGACACTGACAAATATGCTATGGTGATTTATAGTCAGTGAAAATCTTATTCAATTGATTCTTACGAATGATTGAGGAATTCAACAGGAAACTCCAGATGAATTCAGTAGGAAACAATTTTATTACCATGGAAATCATCCAATTCCTACATTGGTAATGCATGACCTGATTCACTATTAAGGTTGATTAAAAGCTGTTGATGTAACTCGTCTAACAACTAGATTTAACGGTTCATAACCGAAAAACGGTTGCTTTTCTAGAACATGTTGATTGCATCAAACCAGTCAAGATTCTTTTCAGTGGACAGCATCATATGCTTTACTACCAAACTACCAACTCAAAATTGACATAATAGAATGTACATGTTTCTGTACTAATCACTCGAGATAAAATTAAGGACCATGAATTAAAAGCAACTCTAATTTTGTGTGTACTACATCACAGGTTGCACTACTTCTAATGGTCCATGATTTGGCTAAAGCATCAATTCTACCTGTTTTTTCCCATTGTCATGTAGGTAGGTGCAGCACTGGAAACACAAACATGTATTGAAAACTAAAGACCAAAGGGCAGCAAAATTCAGCATCTAGGCCAAATTTCTTTGTAAATTCCAGATTTAGAAGTTGGGAAAAAAAAGTGAAAATCCATATATCATCAATCTTTTGCCACAACACTAACATTTTTATGGTTAAATTTCATTGAATTTGTTAACATGTAGATCCCTCAAAAGTTCTTTAAAAAAAAACTCTGCAAGATCAAACCGGGCAACAGTCAAGTACACCTGAAGGGTAACAATACTCTGCAAGATCCAATCAGAAGCAGCCACATTTCCTAGGTTGGCACTACTCTACAACTCCCATGCAAACTCTACCTATCTCTGTACCTTCACGCATCTTCAGTCCCAAGCAACCCCAATTTTTCCTCTCTTTTTTTTCTTCTTCTTTTTGGTAATGCATGCCATGGCCATTACCATTCTGCTGCTACTGCTCCTCTCCTTCCATGGTGGTCGCCCACATGGCATAGAGCTCACAAGCTCGATCAGCTAATGGCCATCACTACCTCCAACTAACTAACCACCTTTTCTCTCCACTGCACAGCAACTTCATCAGTCCCATATCTATCAAGGCTATCACCATGAGTGTGCAAAATATTCATCCGGCCATGCCTCCCCTACAAATACAATCCCTGTCCTTGTCGTGGCCGTCGACATCGCCGGAGTCGGAGCGAAAGAAAGAACAGTGCTGGCACTAGGCCACTAGCTAAGTAGCTAGCTAGCTAGCTAGTAGCAGTGGTAGCTGAAGAGGAGGAGCTAGTTGATCAGCTGAGCTGAGCTAGAGGTAGAAGAAGAAGATGGACACCATTGAGGAGTGCAGTGTGGACGATGGACGCCGGCTGATGCTGCTGGGGTCGAGGATACTGGTCGGCGTGCCCAACAACTCCCGGGGATGCTCCGAGCTGCTCTCGTGGGCGATCCGCGTCGTCGCGAGGCCCAACGATTCGGTTGTCGCCGTCCATGTTCTTGGTACGCACTTGAATTAATCTTTCTTTCCTGTGTTTGACTGTGTGTTTGTGATTTGAGTTGTTCTTCTCCTTTCTTTTTGTTTGCATTGATTGATTGTTTGATTGTTAATTGCTTGATTGGTTTGTTGTTTATGGTTGTGGTGATTGATGTTGTGGGTTGTGGCAGGAGGGAGGGGGAGGAAGAACAGGCTGCAGAAGGCGAACGCGTTTGTGATCTACATGCTCGGGGAGTTTGTGGAGACTTGTGAGGCTAAACAGGTGAGATTTGATTGAAATCAAAGCGAATGCAGTTTGGTTTGGATTTATTGAGTTGTATGCACTGACCAGTTCAACCCAAAAGCCTACACTGATAAGGAAAGACAGACAATTCACTTTATATTCTAACAGGATTGTGTTCTCTTTTTTATTTGTTCATGCATAGGCGGTCAGTTTCTGGTGAATTATTTTTTGGTGCATTGGCTATGCAAAGATGGTACTAGTGTTCTGTTCTTTCTTTTCTCGGTTTATATTAATCTTGAATACTTTTCTTTCTGTTGGCATTTCAAAAAGAAAATCTTTTCTTCTTCTTTTATGTTGATCTTGGATTCCTTTTCTTTTTGGCGAACACATTGCAGTGGGAACTTGAAAGCAAAGTCTGTGATCATTAGTGTTAGTTTGGTGCCCCTCTCTGTCAGGTTTGTCATGTCTCTTGTCAGCTGTTAGTGTTAGGTGAAGTTGTGACTACAGTCTAGTACAGGTCATGATTAGCACTGTGCTCTGAGTCTATCTCTTCTCTCTCTCTCTGATTTTGTTTTTTGAAAAACAATCTAGTTTCAATTTTCTCTGTCTCTGATTTTTCTTCATGTAGTTGTCAAGTCTTATCAGTTGGAATTTTGGGAAGATGTACTATCATTTGAACTTGTAGGATTACTTTTGAGTGAAGCTGAAACTAAGGGTTACAGTTATACTGAATACTGAATTTTTGGTCGTACTAATTATCTGAATCCCTATCATTTTGGTTTACCTTTTATTTATGCTGTCAGGTAAATTTGGAGGCCAAGGTGGTTTGCAGCCCAAGCATTTGGAGAGCACTTACCCAGGAAGCTACATTGACTGATGCAAACTTCCTCATTGTTGGGAGATCAGGAAATGCATATCGTAGGTAATCTCAGGAAGCTGCTTCTTTGTTCAGAAAATGAACTTGGATTTTCTTTTAGTTGATACTCTCATTAACGTAATCATGTATTATCTAGTTAGTATTCATCTCAAACGTAATTATGGATATTCTTTATCTTGATAGAAGTACTGTACAAAATATTTATCCCCACTGTTAATTAGGCCTAAAGCACTAAATGCTACAATTGTCATCATAACAGGAATCATTTTGAGGTTGCAAACTACTGCTACATGAATGCTCCAAGAAACTGTTCAGTGATTGCAGTTGGAAGGGATGGTCTACCACAGAGCGCCGCTCGATTCAAGTCTCGATCATTTGATGGTAAAAATGATCATTTTTTTCTAACTTTCATCACTAGCAAGTTTCATTTACAATGTACTAATTCTGAACCTGAAATTACAGACAGTAGTATCTTCTCAAGCTCAACATGGAGCAGGAGATTTCCACCACTTCAGAAGCTACTCAGATCAAACTCAGCGCGAAAACCGGCACAATCAACGGGTGAAGCCACAGAGGACAAGAGCTCACCAAGGGCAGTTCTTGATGGTCCAGAGGCAGGGGAGCAACATGTCACTGAAGAATGCTACAGCACAACATCTAGCAATGAGGTGAGCCGGCGTGGTCAAAATGGCATCTGGAGGAGGCTATCTGACATGAAGCTCTGGCTTCCATTCCTGCGGTCCATCGACGATGAAAACGTGAAAGGAGGTGATAATTCTTCGAATTATACTGAAGATCAGAAGCCTGCCTGGAGGTGTTTCAGCTACCAGGAGATTTCAGTTGCTACCAATGACTTCCATCCAGGTAAATATTTCCATCACTTAACTATGCATTTTTAATTTTAGTCACCTCGAAAATTTCTATTTCAGACATGAATTCTGTTAAAAAAAAGGTTGTGTTTGGTTTTATAAAAGTTAGTCTGAATTTGAGAAAAATACAAATGCAGAAGCAAGTTTAGTACTAAGATTTGCAATTCATTTGATGGTTTTTCATAGATAACATGGCTGGGAGAGGAGGCTATGCAGAAGTATACAAGGGTATCCTATCTGATGGACAATGTGTAGCTGTGAAGAGATTGGCACAAGGTAAGCCAACTGAACAGAAGGAAAAAGAGTTCCTGACAGAATTGGGAATCCAGGGACATGTCTGCCACCCAAACACAGCATACCTTCTTGGCTGCTGTGTTGAGAATGGACTCTATTTAGTATTCGAGTTCTGCGAAAACGGGACACTTGCATCGGCACTGCACGGTATTGAATTTGATACAGTAGTAATTTTCAAGTATGCGTTGAAATTTTTGTTGGTAAACATGTAACAGTAGGAGATGAACTTTTGCAGGGAAGAGTGCCAAAATCCTTGAGTGGCCTTTGAGGTACAAGATTGCGGTAGGTGTCGCGAGGGGCTTGCAGTATCTGCACATGTTCTGTAGGCACCGGATCATCCATCGCGACATCAAAGCCTCCAATGTGCTACTTGGTGATGATTTTGAGCCTCAGGTAGCCCCCCATTTTCATGCTGAAAAAATGGTTTTGGCCATGCGCTTTGCACAACAATGGAATCAAATTGGATCAAACATGTTAAGATTTAATAAGAACTGTGGCATCTGTAACAGATATCAGACTTCGGACTGGCAAAGTGGCTTCCCAAGCAGTGGACTCATCACTCTGTCATACCTATAGAGGGCACATTTGGGTGAGCACAGTGCTAATGTCTGAAGACGTACTATAAAAAATACAAAAACATGTGTCAATTAAGTACTATGAAGATAAAATTGCATTATGTCAACTGAATCTTTCCCTTAAATGAATTCAATGATTTGAGCAGGTATTTAGCACCAGAGTACTTCATGCATGGCATTGTCGATGAGAAGACCGACATTTTCGCATTCGGAGTTTTGCTGCTAGAGATTGTCACTGGAAGGAGGCCTATTGACTGCTCCAAGCTGAGCCTTCTTCAGTGGGTGAGTACTGAGTACCACTGCAACAATGCAAGTAGTGTAACAATTACTAGCACCTAACAAAGCATATATAGAACTCATTTTCTTCTACTGCTCCAGGCAAAGCCACTTCTTGAAGCTGGACAAGTGACTGAACTTGCAGACCCGAATCTCGGCGGCGATTATGACAAGGATCAGCTGAAGAGGATGGTCGCAGTCGCGTCACGCTGCATTATGCGACCGGCGATGTGGCGGCCCTCCATGGCTGAGGTAGAACAGTTCATCAATCCAGTGGTTGAGCAGATCAAACTATTACAACTTCTGAAACAAAAATGTTACCTATGAGCATATGACAAAATGTTCCCCCTACTGTGCATTGTCAAATTTCAGGTGCTGCATTTCCTGTCAACTGATGAGTGCCTGAAGGAGCCGGAGAAGTGGAACATTCCGGAAGACGAGGTCGACGACATGGATGATTGCACTATGTTTTCTGAATCTTTGTCTCCATGAAGACAGGCTCTGATATTATTTGGTCTTTGGCATGGCTGTTCTTCATGGTGATGTCAAGTGCTACCTTTTATGTTTCTTCTCTTGGTTTTGGAATGTTAGGTGCTTGGTATGTAATCATGCAATTTAGGGAGAAGATTTTGAAGATATGGTTCGAATTTATCTTTTTATGGATGAACATAAAAAGATCACATTTTCCTGTAAATTATTCATGAGAAAATTTGGTGCTGTTGAGCCAAGCATATATCATGTGCACTAATAAACAGCTCATTTGTAAGTATGTCTCCAAACAGGCGCTGACAAGTAGATCCACTTTTCGCCAAAATATTCATGCACATTTTAGGAGGAATGAATAATTTTGTATGTAGTAAAATCGTACAGCAAAAAATAAATAAATGGTGACAATCTTCAGAACCATACACACGTAGGACTGAAATAGTTTCATCGTAAAGGATGTAATGTGAGACCATTATAACCAGGTCAGAAACAACATGAATGTGTACAAATTATGGAATAAATGGTAAATGTGTCACATTATGCCCAGGGTTGTCTCTGGGCATAGCTAAAAACAGAATGAACATTCTGTAAATTGGAGAATGGGATTTATGCAGGCAAAGTTGTGCAAGAACTGCAAATACACAGGTTTGAAGTTGCATCCGAAAAGAGTGCTGCTCCACATCAGAGATATACATATTTCACTTCAGCAATACCGACTTATCTATAAATCCTCCAAAAAACATTTTTGAATTGGAAATATAAATAAATCAGGAAAAATCCTATAAATGTTATAACCATGGTTCTACGTCCTCTACTATGTGGCATCAAACCATAAATAAACAAGGGTCAAATTTATATGAATTCTGGCACTTCAAAACAATCAGATAACTAAAAAGAGAGAGAAAATTATTCTTTTATATTTTATTGCAATTGGAACGAAGTGGAGCATTCCACCAGAGAACCGAATAACTGAATATTCCCAACAAGGATTCCTGATAAGGAAAACATTCCACCGGCCCAAAACAGATAACTCCTGCATGCGTCATGCCATCACCACCCAAAAACCTAAACAAACCACCATGATCAGGCACCACCCTCAATGCTCAAAACCCATTGATTAAAAGAAAGCTGCAGTCATCATGCTATTATTAATAAGAAATGACATAGGATTTGTTATCTTAGCAATGATAATTGCACCATGAAAACTACAGGTGAACAACTATATACAAGCTACCTTTGCAATACATTAATCCGCTATAATTCGATGAAGGAGATGAGGATCTACCATTGGAAAGTAGAACGGGATCGCCGAATTCTGCCATGAATGTTGACTGCAACTATGACACTTTTTTTTTTTAGATAATGGGAATTTATAAAACCACAATAACTATGACGCATAACATAATTCTGCAACTACGACTTGTAAGATAGCATCAATAATTCATCATTTCATTAGCAAACAGTATAAAATGACCGCAGAAACTAAATTGACCTCTAATTCATTCATGGAAATGGAATTTTACCCAATGAAAACCTACATCATCAGTTAAAAACGACTACGGATCATCACCGTCGAATTTGGATTGCGAGTTATGTGATGACACACAATTGTTTGTGCTAGTACAACTCATAAGAGAAAAATCACATTGGATTTTTTTTATTATTTCAGCACTGAACCATAGAAATTAACTACATGAGTTATCTTACAAAAGTCACAATGCATTAATAATAATCCCCCTAATTTTAACCGATGGAATTTGGAATTCCACCCACCGAAAACCCGCATCAGCAGTTAAAAATAGTGATGCGGGTTTCCACCACGGAATCAGAAAGCGACGGCGAAGAAGACGACGACATGAACACCATGCGCCACCATTAGCATGACGGCGAGATTATGACATGTTGCCCTTTTCTTAATGTTTGTCTTAAGACGGGCAAACGCCATTGCCGTTGCCGCGTTGGCGCCCATTGGGAGAGGGGTTTCTGGAACTTTCTAGAAGGTTGGCACGACGCCGTAGGCCGCGGTGGCAGCGGTGGTGCTGTCCATGTAGAACCCTACGCCGTCGGCGCGGCCGTCGTCGGAGAAGGAGAGCCAGAACTTGGCCTCCTTCGTGGCGGCGGCGCCGGCGCCGCCGGCGCCGCTGACTCCGGCGGCGGCCGTGCTGTCGTCGTCCGATGACGAGGAGGCGGCGGCGGTGGTGGCGCGCTTGACGAAGCGGCCCTTGATCCTCGGCCGCGCCTCGGCGTAGGCCTTGCGTGAGGCGTAGCGGATGGTCTTCTGGAACTTGCGGTTCTTGCGCTTCTCCCGGTAGCGCCTCACCCTCTCCTCCCTCGCCGCCGCCGCCGCGGCGACCGCGCCGGCCGCCGAGGTCGGGACGACGACGGAGTCGGCCGGTGACCACGGCGTCAACGCGGCGAGCTGGCCTGGGTGCAGCCACAGCGGCGGCGCGGCGGCGCCGTCGAACGACGACGCGAGGCCGCCGCCGCCGCAGGACATGATGTCGACGTCGGAGAGCAGGTCAAAGAGGCTCCTCTCGGCGCCGCCGCCGCCGCCGCCGCCGGCGCTGTCGTTGGTGAAGCTCGACGAGCTGTCGTTGGGGCTCCCCTGCCCCTGCCCCTGCACCGCCGCCCCCGCCGCCGCGGCGGCAGCCCATGACGAGGCGGCGTCGTCGTCGGGCGCGAACAGGTGGTCGTACACCCCGGAGCTCGCCGCCGCCATGGCGACCGCGAGCGGCACGCGGTCGTGGCGCGACGCCAGCGGGTTGGCCGCGTGCACCGCGGCGTCGCACGGCACGCAGAGCGCCGCCGCGTCCGCCGCGCAGTACACCGTCGCCGCGCCGCCGCACACCCCGCACGCCGCGCCGCCGCAGCTGGCCGGGCTCGCGCTGCCGTCGCTTGCCATCATCTCCTCAACAAGATCTTGCTTGCTTAGTTAGCTTGGCTAATTAATGGCTTAATCTTAAGCTAATTTTAAGCTTGAGCTTGAGATCAAGTGGCTTAAGCTAAGCTAAATTGTGTGTGTTTGTGAGTGGGAGTGAGGGTGCTGAGCTGTATAAATAGGGGGAAGAAGAGACGCCAAGAGAGGTTAAGGGGAAGGTGGAGTTGGTGAAGTGCCTAAGAGGACACGTGGAGCGCTAATGGCCAAGAGAAACTTGGCATGAGAGAGAGGAGGCCAAGTGTGATTTCAGGAGAAAATGGTAGGTGTACTATGGTAGGTACCCTTGTTTCTCGGCCTAACCAAACTGTGCATATGTCTCGTTGTCTCGATATTACGCGATACAAGTAGATTCTGTAACAGGACGATTAAGATTATTTCGGTCCTGTACCATATCACATCGATTTTTCTCTAATCGGGACGCTTTTGACTTTTTAGTTTCAAATAAAATTCATGTAAATATTGTAACTAATCTTGCAAAATGTGTAAATATATGTTGTCTTTATGGTTCGATTAAGATACTTTAAATATAATTGGCATGTATAAAAACTAACAAAATCATAGGTGAGGTAAATAGGATACTTACTAAGATCGATGAAAATTAATATGAACTCAAGAGGATTGTTCACCATTTTTTTTCTAGAAATAACCATTGTAGGAGTATCTTGTATCTTGGTTGCTAAGTAGGTTGGAAGGAAGCATAGAACAACATGTGATTTTTTTTAAAAAAAAGGGATTTATGCAGCAACCAATTACAAAGGAAAATAATGTGTTAACCAGACTTGGCATTCAGGACTGTTTGTATAAGGAGTTTGCCTGATGGACCCATAACTACAAATCTACCAATTAGTAACTTACTATTATTTTCAGCTCTATAGTTTACTTTTACAATTATCCATAATATAAGTTTATATGAAGAAAATCAAAATAGAACATCATTAAGTAATTTTCAACCAGGCTACGTAGAGAATAGCCCGCACATCAACCTCTTACCTATCACTCAGTCATCGCTACATCTATGTGAAAATCACTTGGCTACGCCGAGAACAGCGCATCCACCGCTGTCCTACGTCACAATCACCCCGTTAACTGTGTGCAATTCCTAGTGGACCTACGATTTTTCCACTAATCAAAACCGGGTGATTAAGCTTAAGTGATCAAAGGTGGAGAGATGAGGGTAGAGAGAGCTGTCACACTTTGGTCTGTGCCGACGTAGGGCCCACACCACACCAGAGAGCGCAGGAAATGATCCCTGGCAGATGACGTGGCGTGTGCAATCATCCAGGATGTTATATTGTGGTGGGGCCCACCGGAATTTCAACGCGCATATATAATACTGCGCTCCGATTGGTTGCAGCATGCTTGGCTTGGCTTGGTCGTCTTGATCAATCAGCTGTTGACGGTGGGGAAAACTCGGTTTGATTTTCAATTTTGTTTAATTTGGCTATCTCTTTGCGAAAGGGCCTATAGCCTGGTGATTACAAGAGCCTCAGTAGCACCTGAGGTCCTGGGTTCGACTCCCCTTGGGAGCGAATTTTCCAGGATTTAACGGCGTTGTGCTTTTAGTGGTAGGCGACGTACCCGTCGACAGCGAAGCGCCTGTAGTGACTTCATCAATCTCTCCAGGATTTGTCGGCCCAGTTTTCAAAGATGCTCTTATAGGGGTAGGGTTTGCGTGCATGTGTTCACAGGGGTGAGTGCACGTGCATTGTGAGTGTCTGCGTGCGTACATGTGTTCACAGGGGTGAGTGCGCGTGCGTTGTGAGTGTCTGCGTCATAATTCTCAAAAAAATTTGGCTATCTCTTTCTATCTGCACTGTTTAATCCTGCCGTACAAGCTAGAAAAACTTGAAATCTGGTTTCTATCTGCACTGTTTAATCCTGCCGTACAAGTGGTGGTGGTGATGGTGTAGTAATAACTCTTTTCCTTCCCAAGGGAAAAAGAAATTGGTTTTGTGGTTAGGGGAAAATGGATTTTCTTCTAAGAATAATTTAGATAAGTACTACTGCAAATTAAAGACGTATTGAAGCTCATGAACCCTCTAGAACGTATGAATTTGGCATAATTAATTTGTACATGAAGTAGATGACACCCGCGCGGAAAATTGTATATATGGATAAAAATCAACTATATTTGATTAAGGGCATGTTCACTTTGATGAAAAAAAAAATTACTAAAATTTGGTATTGCTAAAATTTTGGCAACTTACCAAAAATTTGGCAAGATTTTTTATATAGGGCTTGTTTGGTTTGGAGCCAATTTTTGCCCTACCAAAATCTTGATAGTACCAAAACATTGGCAAATTTTGGCACTACCAAATTTGGTAGTATTCAATTTGAACTATGGTGGGTAAAATTTGGTAGCAAACCAAACATCCACTTGCTACTATTGAAGTTGCCAAAATTTTGGTAGGGTAGTAAATTGGTATCAAACCAAATAAGCCCATAGTTACCAAAACTTGGCAGCAAACTAAATATAGCCACTTTTTTGACAACTTTACTAAAATTTGGTAAGGTTGAAAAAGACATTAAAGTGAACAGGGCCTAAATAGCTAGAGTATGATAGACAAGAATAAACAGAAACTGTACCGGTTATCACTATTGGTGTTGAGTTTTTTTTTTGGTGACGTGGCCTTATACATGGGTTAATAATTTATTTATAGGAGTAAATTCTTAATGTGTTGTAACTAGGATTAGTTCAATTCCTACTGGAAATTGGAAGATTGCTTTTGAGTGTTGTATAAGAGGCACGGATCTTTATTTTGAGATATACTCAAGCTTACTGACTCCTTTGGACCTACCGAATTTTTGCAGGGTTTCAGTATAAATAATAGTTCAATTCCAGCATTTAGATGAATCCACATGTTCTAAATGAGGCTCAAGGCTCCATTTGGAATGCATAAATGAGATTTGTAAGAAATAATTTAGTTTTGTAGGAATATATACAAATAAGGACAGCTTGAATGGAGCCTAATTATTATAATTTAATCGCCAATCTCTTGCAACGGATTCTCTCTTAAAGTGAAATCGAAAATAGTGGTGGAGCCAACGGCGCCATCGAGTCTAAGCAACTAATAGTGTTTTCTAGTGGCCAATCAATATTTTCATATGTTGATGGCTATCTACAATGGAGATGCCAGCGTAGGGCTCAGAATGGCACCCGACCAACCCGCTGTGTCTGATTGAAAAAGATATAACAAAACAATATGGCATAAGACCACTTGTTATTGTCCACGATACATGAAAGAATCTCTTTTTAACGTGCCAAAAATACTTTATGGGCATGATAAACAATTCCATAAAATCCAAATTACTCATTTTGTCACAAAATATAACTGCAGCGAGTAATATATATTATAGCCTAAATATGTACAGTCAAAATTCTATAATATTGCCACTATATAGTGCAAGTCGTTCATAGATTCTATACAGAACTGGAGACAAGATCACAAGATTTGCCATGCATGATAAAGGCATTGATGTCAAAACGGATTAACATTGTAATATTTGGTAATTTTCCTTATAAGCATAACGTTAGAGAATACCAAACCTGTACATTACAAACTATGTCGATCGCTTACAATGACTACTAAGAAAACATAGATACTACTAAGTATCTTTCAGTGAAAATAAAATAATTAAGGATATACTTCCACGAGCGAGCACATGTTAATTTTTTACTCTCCCTATTGTAGTATAAATTAATTCCCCATTAACCACGTACGTTAACACTGGAGGTAACTAAAGGTACCACTTAACTTTTGCCATTATCATACATACAAACAAATCAGCTGCATTACCATCCGGATAAACTTTTTTTTTACACCAAAACAAACCGAGAGCAATTGTTCTTGGTTTGGTCCAGCTAGCTAGCTAGTGGACGACGACTACTACAAAAGGTAGTATGAAACTTTTTCTTCTTGCCAAAAAATAAAACGAAAGAGAGCAAAAAAAAAATTACTGCTCTACTTTAGCTAAGCCTGTAGCTTAATCATGGCTTAGCTAGATCGCACTGATCTCTGATCTGATGTTGCTCCACACTGCACTCCATCATTGCGTATATTTTTTGCGGCCATCGTTATCTCCTCTCTCCTCCATCGTGCTGCGAAAAGGCGGCCACTCGAAAGTCAACGGGGTCGCACGCGTTGACATTTTCGTCGAGCGCGGAAACAAAAGCCGGCTCGAGCGCACGCACGCACGCCCGCCCCGCCCGCCTCCTTTCCCGCTTCGCGAGCGCGCGACACGTGTCCTTCTGGAACATTCGGCCAGAGATCATTCATAGTACAGCAACTGATAGCGGTAAAAATTGATAGAAGTATTATTTGTAGTTAATCTAATAATCTAAATTTACAATAGTTTTATATAAATATATACAATACCATATGCAACTGATACACATACATTATTTTAAAGCTCGTGCTATAGGTCTACAGGTGACTATATATATGTATACCATTTTTCTTATCTTTTACTTCCTCCGTTTCTAAATATTTGACGCCGTTAAATTTTTTAAATATATTTGACCATTCGTCTTATTAAAAAATTATTAATTCTTTTTCTATCATTTAATTCATTGTTAAATATACTTATATGTATACATATGGTTTTATATATTTCACAAAAGTTTTTTAATAAAACGAACGGTCAAACATGTGCTAAAAAGTCAACGGTGTAAAATATTTAGAAACTAAGGGAGTACTATCTTTTTTCTTTGCTTGTAGATGGCTTATAGCCTTCTACCCCCTATGTTTCATAATATAAGTTATTTGAAATTTTTTTCTTAGTCAAACTTTTTTAAGTTTTACCAAGTTTATAGAAAAAATATAATAATATTTTCAACACAAAACAAACATATTATCAAATATATTCAATGTTAGATTTAATGAAACGAATTTAATATTTAGGTGTTGCTAAATTTTTCTATGAATTTGATCAAACTTAACATAATTTGACTAGAAAAAAAGTCAAATGACTTATAATATGAAACAAAGGGAATAGCATTATACTCTCTCTATCCTTCACTAAGTTAATCTAGTACTACATATGATATATCTTAGTAATACGAATTTGAATAAGAGTCTATTCAGATTCATAATATTAGGATGTGT